ACGACACGCTGTATACTAGGGCCAGGTGGTGGACCTGGTCCTTGGTCCTTCACAGCTTTCCTTTACTTTTCAGATGATTTAATTTCTCTGAGATAGAAAGAGAGCTCTCGAGTTTTAGATAGTAATCATACAAACGTCTCCAGAAGTGAAGATTTTCAGAGGCACGCGGATGAAATCCTTTTTCAAATTGGAAAGCTACATGATATCGCAAAAGTTGCAATATCAATAAATTAACAAGATCCAAGCTCAAAGTCCAGTACACGACACGAATTCGCTCAAGAAAACCACAGACTGCCCATTCTGCTTTATTCGAAAGTCGAAATCATCCACAGCGCATTAATTTAGGAAACATAAGACACGACAAGACGGCGGACACGACAGTATTCCTTGCAATAAGTATGAACAAACGAGTTTCGCAATCGGTCTCGGGTAGCGTTATTATTTATTTATTTTATGCGAAAAGTTGTCAAACGAGCAGACGGTTCACCTGATGTTAAGTGGATACTGCCGCCCATGGACATGCCACACCCGAGGGTTACCGATGCGTTTGACAACCTTTTTAAAATTGGGCTCTACGACCAAGTGTTCAGAATGCTATAATATAATTAGAAATATATTCACTATCCTCACTAAATTGCATTATCATATTCCATTAAATACAGATTCCTCCTCACTAAATTGCATTATCATATTCGATTAAATACAAGTTTTGATAATACCTAATGTCGTTTTTACGGATTTATCGCGTTTATTTCTAGATATCCCTACCCAAAGGGTAAAATGGGACCCTATTACTAAGACTCCGCTGTCTGTCTGTCTGTCTGTCCATCTGTCACCAGGCCGTAACGGAAGCCGCTATAACAACAAATACTAAAAAACAGAATAAAAAATATTTAAGTGGGGCTCCCACACAACAGACATGATTATTTGCCGTTTTTATAGATAATGGTACGGATCACGTCGTGCGCGAGTCCGACTCGCACTTGGCCGGTTTTTTACTTTCACGGTAACTTATAGCATTAGTGAGCATGAAAAACCAAAAAACAAGACAGTGTGGTACTTGAAACCCCAAATACGCCACTGGGTGTTTGAATTCGCAAATCAATACTTCCAGCCATGAATCCACAATCTATCATTTTTTTGCAATATCATATATTCTTCCCATATAATTTTTACTGAAGTCGAGCCACAAAGCAGCTTCCAGTGTTGCACGAATGGGCAGGTTCGTCCGGGGAAGTACCGCGGCCTCGCAGGAGACCGGCGTGAAGTGGAAAGTGTTATACTTCTGCTGACTGATGTAAAGGTGCCAACGCATCTGAAACCCTACGGGTGTTGCAAATGTCCATGGGTGGCAGATATCACTTGACATCGGTTTAACCGGCTCGCTTAACACCTCAACAAAAAAAAATCGAGATACTGTTAAGAACAAAAACAAGTTTAGACATGATTTTGTCGATCGCAAATGTGCTACAACTTTTACAGCAAATAAAAACTTCCTAGTATATTCCGGATAGATCTAGACTGCCCGAGAGAGTCTAGGCGAGACGAGGCATAATGTCGCTAACAATGTACTGAGGACGAAGAGCCGGTCACAGTCCAACGACAATGAGTATCGCATTAAATCATAATTGCGGGAACTTCCGTCCGCCCGTATTGGACCCGTGCGACGCATCGTCGCATAGTCGACTTAGAAACAGAAAGTCCGACGTCTAAATCTGACGTGAACGGAGATAAATATTGCTGTCCATGATGCACCATCCTCGTTTAGTGCCAAACGTAAAAAGCGCTAGTGTCACAGAATACAGATTAGGAAATGATTTAAACAAGTACGAAATCCTAACTCAGAAACAGTAAGTCTCGTGGTATTTATATCTGACCTGGAAAGAGATAAATACTAGTGTCCATAATACACCATCCTCAATTAGGGCCACCTCACCACGCGTAGTTTGAGATAATAAGGATATCGAAAAATCTGAAAATCAAAAGCTATTCCTAAAACAGAAATCCCCTTGCGGCACGCGACGCCACTGGGTTTTTAACAAGCGATCTAATCTCAAGTACGAAATCCCATTCAGAAAAGTTTCCTTACATTAAAAACTGGACCATACTATTTTTGTTATAATTTTTAAGATGTAAATTCTCCAAAAACTTTCGCACTCAGATGCTTTACGAGCTAAGCTAAGCGGCCCATTTTTTACGAGAATCTCGACAAGGAAATGTTCGAAAAAAAGAGTTCTGTGTTCGCGAACGTTCGCCGACGAACGCACCGTGTCGAGTAATTTTTCGCTCCGCTGGGCGCACCCGGCTTGGGTACGACGCACATTTATAACCGTTCCCTATTCTCAGGACTTGAAGGCCCAGAATGGCTTGAATAATCTGATCCAGCTCGGGACATCTAATCGCGACGAGATCGCAATGTTTCGCAGGATTTAGCGCTTTCATGACTGGAGTGAAATCTGCGTCCACTCCTTTCGTTTTTCCGTGTTTCCAATTTATTATATTGCGTAAATAGCAAGACGTTCTGATGAATTGTTCCAAAAACAGTAAAGATGGGAAAGGGCCTGTTTTATACAGATGGTATTACTCCATAGTCTACCACCTAGCCCCACTACGGGAAGACACAACACACATATTTTTTCATTTGTTCCTCACGATGTTTTCCTTCGCTTTTAGCGCGTGATGAGTCAGCACTTACAATTGCAGTTAGCAGTTTCATCTGGCACCGAGATTTTAACTCGAGTTGCTAGAGTATATTAAATTAAAAACAAGCACTCGGAAACTTAGCTTACAATGCCACATTCATTATTACTGTTCAGTAATGCTACAACATATTGGAACACATATTTCTACAATCATTGAGAATATACAGACTTTGTAAATATTAAAGTGCCTTATATGATAATCTTGTCACTAATATGACCATAGTGCAGTTGAAACCAGACAAAACATGAAAAAGGCTTCCGTTGGCACAAATACGTACAACCTGTGTGTGAAACATTCACAAGATTCTAAGACGGGCAACGCATTTGAAACTCCATTGTCCTCGTTAATACCGATATCTCATACGACGATGTCCATTCACATCACTTGCTAAACCGTGGTAAACAAATTGTGGAAGAAGAGACCTACATAATATAATAAGTTAAAAAAGTATTCGATTAAATCTAAAAGCTAAATAAAAGGATAAAACAATAGTGAAAACTAAGTATTGGACAAAAACCTTCCTTTCTAATCTATAATAGCAGGTTTTAGAAAATTAACTTGGTCTTCCATTGTTTTGCTGCATATACAATATACAGCGTGTCGTTACCATCGCGACAATAAATGAACACACGTCTAACGCTATTTGCCAATAATCATGAAAAAATATTAACGTTAAACAAAATCCATAATTAAAAAAAAATATTTTTCAAACAAACTAATTAAGTAAAAAAGAAACAAAATTTGTAGCATCCTATACAACTCGCGCCACAGCGTCGCATTACAAGCCTCTCCTTCTAACAGTATGTTTTGTCTCTTAAATTCATTCAACGCTTTGTGACCTTTACAAATGAACTTCACGTTACAGTTTTATACGTAAGGGTGTTCTAAAATTCTTTGTTTCAGAAAATTTAATAACTCTGTAAATATTGATGTTTAAAGAATGTAAACTTAAAATATACACACACATAATACAATTTTAAAAAGTTATCCCCTATATGTGTGTTCATTTATTGTCGCGATTGTAAAGACACGCTGTATAAGAGTCAACTGACAAATGCCTTCGAATTCGCGACTACACACCCCCAGTGATAGAAAATTTGGTAACCATCCCGAGCATAAAGCGTTAAGTAATAAAAGAAATAAAGTAACCGGCAGGCACGAACAAAAGAAACACGAAATCAATTTAACCGATCTTCCGCTTCAACTCATTCTTTCTTCTTTCTCATTCTTTCTTTTCTTTTTCAATTAAGATTCACCGTAAGTTCGGTTTGAAAAACTTCAGTTGCAGTGATGCGGCAATTTTCTTTCCTTTCAAAAACATCCGTTTAGGTACGCTTTTTATGTGCGTTTAGGTACTTTCCGGCAAATCATTTGAAACAAAGGCGTTTAGAGATGACACGAATGATCTGTCATTTGGGGGATAAACAAGACGAGTCCAGAAGAAGTAGATAGAACCTGGATGGCTAACTTCGAGTCCGTTAGCGTAAGTGACCGAGAGAGTGAGTGAAGAGCTTCTCCCAATTGACTTCGAACATTTTGACCCATCTCTGGTACACGCTAACGAACCCTCCACAATGCTTTATGTACCGTTAAGACACACCAAGATCTTGGTTATCTTAATTGCCGCCGTAAAGAGCTGGCCCTTTATGATGCCACGGCTTTATTGCTTGTTTGCGAGCAGTTAACTTCAGACGGCAACTGATAGCTAATAAAGCCGTAAAATATAAATTTAAGAACTAAATTAGAAACGAGACTTCAATTAATATTCAGGTAATAACACTATGAAGAGATCTTTATGCATTGAACTCGGAAAGAATTTAAGAAATTGCAACAATTAATACAATGAGAAGTTTTAATACTATCCCGGGAGGCAAAGACAACTTAACATAGGAATCCGCAACAGAGAAACCGTAGACGTAAATTTTTCGTCATCATACTTGATCTTTTTAAGCGACAAACGAGCCAATACTAATAATTACTTCATGGACCGTCACAAATGTCTTGGAGGAAACTCACTAAGTTTGCTTAGTTTAAGTGTTTGAATAACGAAATATGGTCTCAAATATTTGCGAATCTAATTCCTGACTTCGAGATATTCGTTATTTTTGACGTGAATCAGTATAATATGCTTTTGAAGTTAGAATATTACACTATGATGGCAATTCAGTGTGTTTAATTGTCAACTGCCTAGAATAGATGAGAGAGTATGAGGAAATGGATGATATTTAACTTTTCCAATCATCTGTTCGAAGACGTCGAGAACTTTCTGTTGTAATATCTAGGTTTATGGGACTGACCTTAAAGCGCTGCCCTGTTCCCGTACGTCGACACCATTGATAGTATCCTCGCTCCTTGTCTGCAGGCCCGACATCTTCCACCAACGGAGCGCGAGACTTCGCCCTCCGCCAATAGGGAGCCCAATCACGTCATCGCTGCACCCAATCGACCAATCGCACGGCCCGTAACTTTCCCGCTCATATCTGTAAGGAAGATTGGAACAATTTAAATTCGGAACGCGGATCGCAGCTTATCCAATATGGCGGCGAAAGGAAGTTGCATTTCGCGCGTGCCGTTACGTAACCGTTAATCAAATATAGAGTACGTTCAGAAATGTTTCCCGTCAAGCGGGCAACATTCGTGAGCGATGAGAGATTATCTCTTTGCATTTTTTTAAAAACTCCACCACAAATGGTGTCCGGATTCTAGAACGTACAAAGTTTATAGCTGCGATTAAAAAGCGGATGTTATGATGGTCATCAATTTTACATCGTGACCTCAAAGTTTTTCCACAGCGGAGGAGCTTAGCAGTTTTAGTAAAGATATTAAAATCGATAGTTTAAATATGTGTTCGGAACCATTTGAATTGTTTATCACGAAGTTTAGGAATGATGAAACTGTACGTTTTAAGTACTTTTCAGGGCGACAAAAGGGAAGAAAATCCGAGAAATAGGTATTAATATAAAATTGTGATGATTTTTATATATTTTCGTAATGAGAAAACACAGACTTTCGTTAAAGAAGAGAACGGATTGTAGAGAAGAAATAGTGAATCTCTTTTTTTTTTAATGTGCGAAAGTGGCAAACGAGCTGACGGTTCACCTGATGTTAAGTGATAACCGCCGCCCATGGACAGTCGCAACACCCGTAGTGTTGCAAATAAGTTGCCACCTTTAAATAAAATTGGCCCCGACTACCTCAGTCACCAGACGAAACGCAGAAGAGTAACACTTCTACTTTACGCCGGTCTTCTGTGAGGTCGTGGTACTTACCCGGACGCCTGCCTATTCGTGCGACAGTGTTGCGTGGCCCTAAAACCGTTAAAATCTTCAATACCATCTTAGAACAAGAGCGAATATGCTTCTGACGGCTTTGCATCCAGTCGGATAACAGTGAACAATTAGCCAGTTCGCATTAAAAATAGAAAATAATGCAGAATATAATGATAAAAGAACGTAACAAATTGTTTAAGAACATATTAAAAAATTACGAAAAAATCATAAAATACATCGTTCATTTGATCGACTCATGACTCAAACGCTGCATGATATGCGAATTTACTACGTCAAAACAAATTCATATAATTGAGAGCTCTAAGACGAATCCATTGATACCTATATTGACTGTACGTTTGATCGGAAGATATTTTCCCTCGCGAAATTTCGAAACATTCGACGGGCTTGTTACACGTACTGGGCACACCACGCGTACAAGCCGCGTGAGTTGCATAACTAGCGATTCGGACGCGCGGAAGCGATCATTACAAACTTTTACGTAATCTACCTAGCTCGAACACAATTTACGAAGCGAGTCGCTTCGGTAGGGCCACGCAGCATGGAAAACGGAGGCAAACATAAGCGATATCAGCAAAATCGGTTGAGTCGCAATCTTCTCCTGCAGCACGGAAGATGCTGGCCAGAATAAGTACCACGGCCTTATTGAAGTCGACGTTGTTTTGGGTTCTGTAGCGATCTATTTAAACACTTGACATTCACAAACAACTGTGTATAAACAATTTCAAACAATTTGTAAAAGCTACCCTATTGGCAATTCTAATGTCCAAGAATACATTGAGGACAAGGATGTGTGGGAATAACTCTTGCCCTGCACTTGCAAGACCCCTGGCTGCTGCTGCTGACCTTAATAAGTTTGTATAATTGCATCACAAAAAAAAATAACAAAAACGAGAACAAGGCCGCAGAACGGTGAACCGGTGGTAGTTTTTTTTGACGTTCAATAAGAGCTTAAGTTAAGCCTACATTGAATAAAGATATTTTTACTTTGACTTTGAAACATAAATGGAAGAAAATAAATGTATGTTGATCATTAACACAGGAAAATGTTCGGAACGTCGGGAATTGAAAATCAAACTAAAACGCAGTGATCATTCAAAGTGGTTCTTACTTATTATTTTTCAGTTTCAGCTTTTCCTTTTAAACCAACATAATATATTAATCTCACAACAAGTACAATTTATAGAAGTTTAGGTTATTACAGTTGTCGGTTTCGTGAAGAATGACGAAAGTAAGAAGACGAAAAGGATTATATTGAAGAAGATTGTCATTTTAAGATGCCGCATTACATACAACCCTGTTTGAAAATAATTTCAGCGTCTTGTTTTTCAAGTGAAAGTATTGAGATAAGGTTTTTCACTTATTTACTGTGTCTCAAAAACAGATGGTGGTATTTTATTCGTCGTAGTTTTCGCCATCGATAATTAATCGATTTTTTTATTTAATTCCAACAATAATAATGGGTGGCAATGTACACAAGCTACAGATAGATTTTGGCACTTTCAAATTTGACTCACGACAACTCAATGGTACACGCGACGTGGATTCAAACCGCGACCTCGCAGACACATTAACGTATTTATAGCTACTGCACCATCACTACTCTATAGACAGAGGTCGTAAATTACTTGCGCACTGATAGATGCTGTCGAAATAATATACAGCCGATCACAAATCAATATATCACTTATGCCGTTGACAATAGAATCGAGATTCGTTCGAGAGCAAAGCTCTTGATTCGAACCCGCATAGAACTAAACAATTACATACATTAGCTCCAGTGTCAACTAACACATGGATTCGAGGGAATCGACGTCGCGACCTTGTACCGAATCATCTCATTGAGCTAGTTGCAGTGGCCCGTAACATTTAAGTCTATACCGTTTTCGTTTAATTCATATTATGTTTGTTTGATATAATGTGAGTTTTGTGACTCAAAATAGTTTTAGGGTTACCTCATAGAGTCATACTAATCTGACTGATTTAGAACATACTGTATTTTACGAATACACACGGTATATTTTAAATAAAATGATTCTAAGCAGTTTAAAACGCTCTATTTGTCCGCCGGGAATTTAAACCCGAAGTTCCAAACAGTATTTTTACATATCTGTTCAGTGATAATAGGATACAGTATAGGGTACGGTACTAAAACTAAAAGTTCACAAATTAATCCGTGTAAAATCCGTAAAATACGTAGGTTCGATTACTGTGTGTAGTATACGCATTTATCCAAGAAGTCATTATGATAAAAAAGTAAAGTGACAGCCTATTTATATTCCACAGCTGGGCAAAGGCCTCCTCTGTACATTGGTAGTCCACCGCGCAACACCACTGCGAATTGGCGGACTTCAAATATCTTCGAACCGAACATCCAAAACATCTTTTGTTATTATTTTAGAAAACATGCAGGTTTCCTATTATGAACGTATTGTTTTACCATTAAGTTTATAAAAAATATCTATAATACGTATTCGTATACAAAAGACCGAATGTTATATGATGACCGCTGCCCATTGACATTTGTAACTCTCATAGGGTTCAAGATCTGTTGCCACCTTTTAATAAAGTGGGACTCCGGCTACCTCAGTCACCGGACGAAACGCAGAAGTGTATTACTTCCACTTTCCGCTGGTCTTCTGTGTAGTATCTGCCCGGACGGACCTGCTCGTTCGTGCAACAATGAAGACTGCTGCGTGGCCCTACCACAGTTATAACACCGTTATATCCTGAAATATAAATTCGTTTTCGAGAAGTACGACGATCGATCACTGCTTCCACACAGATCTCCTACATAACGCATTTCAAATGCAATCACCGCACGGACAACCTACTGGCGCGTGTTTGACACCTACGCGTAACTAACCGTTAAAATAAATTGCAGACAGACAATCTATTCGCCAGCACAATGGGGCTCCGTTTACGTCGATTAGCAATTGAAATGCGCGCGAGTGATGTAAACACTGGAGGCCTCGGTGGGGCCGCGGTGCGGGCGCGGTATGTGGCGCAAGCGATAAGCGCAGCGCGGAAATCTACGACTATGGAAGGATAAAGGAATATTTGGCCGAGGCCTTTATTTAAATTATTAAACAGAATCGTGACATTTTTTTTTAAGAAAGTGCCGCAAATAATACAGCCATTGATATCCGCGACAGCAGGGGTGCAATGTAACTTGCAATTGCGGCGCCCGAAAGGATTAACTTGCGATTACGAAATTCACCGCACTAAGCGTAAATGTATAAATAAACACATCTTATTTGCATTGGCCTCCCACAAACTGGAGCAACCCGAGTTCGAAACCCGGTGCCGGCACCAATGCAATGCAATTGTCAATTTTAAGTGCTAAATTATCACGTGCAGTGACGGAAAATATTGCGAGGAAACCTGGATATTTTCGTAATAATAACAAGAAAAAAATATAACAAATATGAAATATTATCAACAAACACACGAAATGTTGTTCGAATGAGACTTGAACCTAAACGCTTTCATCTCAGTCAAGTGTGCAGACTATTAAGCAGGGATTATGCCGTAAATTTGTGAAAATTGTATTTTTGTTACAAGTTAAAACCGTACTTTCGAAAGAAGTGCTTTTTCATTTCAGAAAGAATTAGAAAAGAGAACGCGGCACGGTGCCATTCGCACAAGATAGTCGATTTTAATTTGTTTAATGTAACTGATATTACCAAATTTAAAACATAGAATGATCACCCGCCCAAGCTTACAACTTGGTCGACCAAAATCCGTGTTCGGAATAGTAATTTTTACGTGCAAATGCGTTCGCTGACACTTTGCAATTCTTTGAAAATCCCCGTAGGGACGTACGACTTTCTTGTTTTTTTTATATCGTCTCAAAACGATTTCCTTCAACCATTTTCCTTAACGGATATAATGTTTTAGTCTTCCTTGTTTTTTAAGGTCACGTTTTAAAGTTGTATTTGGTTATTGTGACATTTTAATCATGGCAAGTAAATTAATAGAATGAATTTATTGTGTATTAAATCTACATTCAAAATATTCTTATATTTAGGTTAAATAATAATAATAAAAATAAATATTTCCGGGTATTATTTTCACACAATTTAAGCTAGTACCGAACTAAGTAAACATATACTTCGTTTGTTAGTAAACAAGTTGGTAAAACAGGCAAATACTAGAAGAACCCTAAGTCATCGCACAATATTTTTCTAGCAAGTGGATGGAACCCATAAAACCAACACCGATTTCTAAACTTAATGGCTGTAATAGCACTTTATAAAAGGATTGCAGCAAAAAGTGATTAAAGACTGTGGTAGGGCCGCGTAAAGAGAAGTATCGTTCTGACTCTCATTGACTGGTTAAGTCAAAAAGACGAAAATAAACCTACTTTTTAATGGGTTGACAATGGTCTACAATCCGTCTGGTTTTGTAGGAGTCCACAGAACATCAGGTTACTGGGAAATACAAAAGTTTTTTCTGGCTAACGAAATACCGCTTTTGTGGAGGATTTACTAGGTTCGAGTAATAAATTTATTTCGTCATGTGGGATCTCATTGTTATGTTAGATTGCAAAAACACAAATGACTATTTTGAACAGTCAATTTATAAGATTAACTTTGAAGCCAATGCGCAGAGCAAACAGTGAAGGCCTAACCCCAATCAGACATAATCCAATAAATCGATCGCCGAGTAAATAGATTTAAATAGTGCGCAGCAATCAAGGTTAAGAGTTAATGATCAAGTGTGTTTATAATTAAACACCGTAATAAAATAAGCTATAAATAAAGGTGCGTGCAAAGAAATCACTCATCGAGGTAACCTAAATTGGAATAGATTGAAATTAAAGAAAAACAACGCTGTAATAATTGGACCTTATCCAAAGCATATATGTTAATTGATCCAAAAAAAATATTACAAGAGGAGTAACGAGCCTATCGATTAACATCAAACCAAACGCGCAGAAGTTAAAATAATTTTGAACAAAAAATAACCGACTTGAAACAGGAAACTAAAAGCATTGTCAACGTTATAGGCGCGCATTTGAGGATTGCCCTTGATTTCTCTGGGATGGCATCATCAGACTCTTGGAATATGTCCTTCCAAAAAAAAAATCATCAAATTCGGTTCATAAATGACGAAGTTATCCCCGAACACACAAATATATATATATATATATATATATATATATATATATATGGGTCGATATTGTGAAACTTCCTCATTAAAATCTAAGTCATATCACAACAGTGCTTTAAAGTTATGAGCCTGGCAGACAGTAGAATGTCTCGTTCGAAATTTAAAAACTATAACGATCGGCCGGTTATGGTAAAAGTATCTCGTTCGAAATTTAAAAACTATTACGATCGGCCGGTTATGGTCTTTCCAGCCTTGACTGCGGCACTCACACGACAGAAGCCTTCAAAGTGCGTGCACGTTATCCAACTTGCGCAATGCAAATCTGCAGTGGGTGTCCGTACTTTGTTGCTTTTGTGTCAGGGGCGTCGTTTTAATACGTATCATTGGTAAACGATGCTGACGAACGTATTTAGTGTTAGGAGATGTTT